CAACAGAAATAGTTCAGCCAGATCCTGGTGGAGCAGACAAGGGGGGAGTTTTGAGGTGCTGGAGATGATGGGTCCAGTCCCCTTGGGTCACCCTGGTTGCCATTGTGCTTGCTTCACTGGTGGCATTTCATGAGGTTGGCTCCTAACAAACCCCCTAATTAGGGGATTTGCGCCGGCGGGGAGGTGGAGATGAGGCCTCCTCCCTCCTTCCCTGCCTCTCCCCGGATGAGGAGGAGGAGGAGGAGTCAGGACCTGGATAAGGTGGGAGAGGCTGAGCCATGAGGTCAACAGAAATAGTTCAGCCAGATCCTGGTGGAGCAGACAAGGTGGGGGTTTTGAGGTGCTGGAGATGATGGGTGATGACCCGTCCCCTTGGGTCATCCTGGTTGCCATCGTGCTTGCTCCACTGGTGGCATTGCATGAGGTTGGCTCCTAACGAACCCCCTAATTAAGGGATTTGTGCTGTGGCTTGCAGCAACGTGGTGGTTTCGGGGAGAGGCAGAAGAAGGGTCACACACATTATTTTTTGCTTATTTTAAGGCAATTTTGGTGGAGTTTGGGGTGGCTCAAAGACCTCCAGTCCTGCACGGGAGGGTTGAGAGGGGTCCCCCCAGCTTCTCCAGCCCCAAGGCCACCACAGCAATGTTGGCAACGTGTCAGACCTTCCAAGGGAGGGTTCCACCGTGCAGGTCCAGGCAGAGACCAGCTGCCTGGAGCTGACAGAGACCTGACTCAGCTGTGATGCCTCTTCCGGGCTCCCCAAGAATGACCTCGAAGCCCCCGGGGCAGCTGATGTGGTTGTCCATCAGGTGAGTGGTGTCATGAGTCCTGCCCTGGTGAGTCAGGGGTTAAGCTCCAGGCTGACTGAGGGTTAACCGTGTTGTAATGGCCTGTGCTCCTTTTTACTCATCTCTTACAACAGGGAGTACAGCAGGGTTCTGAGGCAAATGATGATGAAGGCTATGTCTGTCCATCTGCCCACCCATCCATCCCTCCATCCATCCATGCATTTACCCAGCTGTCCATCCAATCAGTCACCCAACCATCCATCCTTGTGTCCATCAATCCACCCAACCACATTATCATCCATCAATCCAACCAGCCAACCACCCAAACATTCATCCATATGTCCATCTAACCACCTAACCAGGTTACCATCCCTCCCAACAACCAACATCGACCAAACCAGCCATCCATGTGCACATCCAGCCACCCAACCACATTATCATCCACCTGTACATCCACCCATCCATCTGGTTGCCCAACCATCGATCCAGTCAACTCCCCAACCATCCATCCATGCATCTATCCATCCATCCATGCATCTATCCATCCATCCATGCATCCAACCATCCATTACCATTCATCTACCTGTCCCTCCAACTATCCATCTTCCTTTCCTATGTGTCCATAAGAGCCAAGCAACCTTCACTAGGTGGACCAAGGAGCTAATGGAGCAGATGATCAGGCACAAGTAGAAGACAGTTTGACTTTCTTGGCTACAAGAAAATGGTACCAATTTGCCCCAGTTTAACCCAGTGAAGAATCAGAGCTGTGAGATTTGAAGGGAAGGTCACAAAAGAGAAGCCAGCCCATGGAACAACTGAGGAACACCTGGGAAATGGCTTCTCCAGGTGGGACAAAGTTTGGGCAAAGTTTTCCTCACTGTCTTGAGGGAAAAAAAACGACCTCATGTGGAAAAAAAATCTCTCAGTGTGTAAAACTTTGCAATTGTGGGAGGAATCGGCCGAGTCGTGCTGGGAACCTGTCTGGCAAGAAGCACGGAGCTGCTCGCCCCACGTTTCGGGGAGGGGAGGTCCTGGCAGTTCCTCTTGTGCAATGAGCTGCTCCCTAATTGTCTCTCTAATTGCCTGCGCTGGCTGTTCTGCTCCAGATTTAATAAGATCAAATCAAAAATCGCTGTGAAAAAGCCCCGGGAAGCCAAAGAAGGAGCCAAGAGAAGGGGGAGTTGGCTTGAACCCAACTGGGACAAGCAAACACCATCAGATAACCGGGTGTTTTCAAAGCCCAGGAGGATTGAGGTGTTTATTCAAGCCATGGAAGGAGTTGTTTGAGCTCCAAAATGAGGGTGGGCTGGGTGGGGGACTCTGGGTCACTTCACTAAGGTTGAAGGAGTTGCTCCATCTTGGGTGTCTCTTGGTGCTGAGCAAAGTTGGAAGCTG